TTCCCAGTCAGGACTGTGCCACGCTGATCAGCCACTGCACCACAAAGATAGATCCTAAGACTTCACAGCTTTTGGTCAGACATTGCAGGGCCAGGACAGAAATACTTAAAAGCCAGATACTTGTAACTAAAGCATCAGCGAAGCTTGTTTGTTCTGCAAAGGAATCAGCCATAGACAGGCCTGTTTGTCCACGGAACCAGAGTTATATCAATACGGACGAGTTTAGCATCGATGCTGTCAAGGGCTCTGATGCTTGAGTCTTTGGTCTCATATATAATGACACTTCTATCTTTCATAGAACAAATGTGCTCCTCACACTTGCCAGGCAGATGCCAGGACAGAAACAGGACAAAAACCTACCTGCTATCACCTCCTCGGTGACAAAATCCTTCCAAAGTGGCAGACCCCTGCTTGTAAAATGCACTTTGATTTTAGCTTGTTTTAGTAACTTAAGGCATGGTCAGAATTGATGGTTGTTTCTTTCTGATCTTGTATGAGTTCTTATTTCCAGGTCTATACTTATTATTTGAGATGTCCTTGTACTTGCTCAGAATCTGCAAATGTAAATAAAATGAATGAATGATGCTCAGCACCACAGAGAAACACACAACCTCTTGCAGGATCCGATCCAACTTCACCTTTAGTGTACATCTGTGCTCTGGATTATTTTTCTTCCTGTGCCAAATAAATGTTGCTTTTAAATAATGCTGTTGTCACTTCTCCACTGAATCAGCCACAAGGTTGCATCCATTAAAAGAAGAAACACGTGTTTCTCAGGTCCCTTTCTGAGGCAACGTTACTTAAAAAAAAATAAATAATCCTGTTCCCCTGTAAAGTCACATCAGAAGACTGTTTCCATACACCTGGTTCCAAGGCTCCTACCCAACTTGCAGCTGACTCACTCTCTAGGCTTCTGGTCAAGATCCTGTTAGTTGGTGCAGCTCACTGTGACATTTTTTCAGCTCCTTCCTTTATCTCCTTTACTCCTTCTGCTACTTCCGTTACAGACACATGAGCTTTCACCAAAAAAATCCCACAAACCTCCTCCACTGATACACACATCGCTGTTATTTCAACTATCCAACTCTGTGAGAGATCTTAGTATCTTCCTGTGTATTACAAACGTCTGTCACAGTGACGACAGTCACCAAGATTTTTTAAAAAATTCAATTCCAGTTCTATCAACACTATTTTACCTTTGCCATATTCTCAGCAGGGCCAAAGCAATGACACCACAAACAGGGACAACTCAGCCCACAGTGCTCACACCTCCCCATGCCACACGGCACCTGCAAGCATGCGTAGCCTTCCTCCTACTATTCTGTAGCTCCCTGCAGCATTGAGGACAGCTGTATCAGAGATTAGATTTTGCCAGCAGAGTTCTGAATCAACAGCCCAAATGCAGTTTTACTCCTGGGCAAATCTGCTGGGCTGTTTCCTCCCCAACTCCCTTTCAGTCATATGGATGCAGAGCATGCCTGTCAGCTAGCTGCTGGGGAACGGCCAGCCCCTAACAAGACGCGCTCTCACCACGGCTGTAACTCTTTCAGATCACCTCTTCAAGGCTACGCTCCCTGCTTAAGTCAGCCATCCTAGGCTCTCCTCAGATTATGGGTAACTTTTAACTTTCGGTGCTGGTCAAATGTGTCCTCTCACCACTTCATTCCTCTAAGCCAGCCTAACTAAGGCTAGTTCTAAATGTAAATAACTTGGGCACTTTTTCCCCCACAAGTTGCAATGTATCCTGGCTTCCTCTGCAAGTGCTTAGAGTATTTTCACCTTGGTACAACTCATGTACATGTACAAGTACAAATATTCCTTGATAAGGGCAAAAACCGCTTCAACAGGTTGCAAGGAATCCAGTTGCTTTTCCCAAAGTTATTAGGGCCCTTTGCTGATGCCTAAACAGGAGAGAAGCTGGGCCATGCATAGTATTATCTGCGGCCACTGTTTGGTTTTGTGGGGTGGATGAGATGGAGGGGGCAACTCTGAATATTCAGCAGTTTCTACTTGTGAGCGGTTTTCATTTATTCTCTCTGTTCTTTGAAAGCAGATGTTTTGCCTTTTGCCAGATACAAAATAAACATAATGTCCCTTTATTTACTGGGATCTAGTTCAACAAGGAGACGAGATGTAGGCTATTACATGAAATTACCTATCTAAAAAATTCCTACAGTAAAATTCAAGAGGCAGTATTTACCCATAGACTGCAGATTCTTCAACACAGTAAATTTTAAGAGAAAGCCACAGAGTTGCCGTAACACCTACAATGAATAATCCCGTGGCAGAGAACACCACAGGTAAAAGATGCTATTTTGTGTTCCCTACTGTGCCTTGCTTGTCATCTAGTCCATACAGTTCCTCTGCTCACAAGCTACTGTGTCTTCTAGCGTTTCACTATCCTGAGCAAAAACGTACATCTGTAGCAGACTCATGATTGTCCCTAATGCAAAGCACACACTATATAAACTTAAGGAAGCCAGTCTGAGACTACAAGGATTTTCAGTGTATTTTACACATTCAAAAGTGTACACTTCTGGGATACGTAAGGCTTTTTTTATTATTTTTAGAACATATCTTTTAATGCCAAAAGGTAACAGCCACTATTAATTTTTCACTTAAATGCAATCCGAATACCACTGCAGACACAGCATACAAAGATCACCCACAGACAGTTACGTACACAGGTCAGCAGATGTGCCAGCTAAAGTCACCACTTTGCTTTCTCTGGTTTGGTTTTTTCTTTTTACAACGGGACTGACATAGCTTTTAACGTTTACTCATTTTGGCAAGTAACCGTGCCATTGAAGGCAAATGTACACACATACCGGAACAAACTTACTGGAACCTAAAATTTGTTTTCACAGACAAAAAAAGGCTTATTCCAAAGTAGATTCAGATTTGTCCAAAGCAATTCCAGCAACACGCACCCCTGATCACCTAACTTCATCTACCCTTCTTTTTAAAAATATCACAATGTTCTTTGATAAAAGGCACGTTTGGCAGCTACTAAAATTGTCACGCAGCTGGCATACAGTTTTTATTTTATTTTTCCCTTTCAAATTTTCAACCACCTGGTGCAGGATTTCACATTTGCTGGCTACAAAGTAAAAAATAAAAAAAAGTGACTTACTCTTTACTTTGTTTGCCTTACAACGCTGCAGCAGTTGGCTACTTAATGCACTATTTTCCATGGAAGGCAAAAGGGAAATTTGCTCACAGGTGACAGAAAAATGCACTTAAAGGCATTTTTTTAAATGGAAAATAAGGCATGGAATTTACAAATTAAGTTAAAAGTGCATTTGTTTTTACAACTATATCGGGCCACAAGTTTCTCTCCTGAATAAGAGCTAAAAAGGCTTCAGCTCATGCATCATCTAGGTTTTGAAATGACAATTCAACAACTAAAAAAGGGTATTTTGAGGTGAGGGGGACAACCCATGAGAATTTGCAAACTTTTTAACATCATCTTAAAACAGTCTTTTTGAACAAGTCCCTCCTTGCTGGCTAGAAAAGGCAGCAGGGAGAAGGTCAAGGAGGGACTTTCACCTCCTGCAGCTAACTGCACTGCTCACAGCAGCAAAGCATTAAGAAACATTTTGTTTACCTTTCATATAATTTGTAAGACAAACATTCATGAACAAGGGGCTCTTTCGAGTTGAGCTTAAATTGCGGCAGTGCTAGAAACACCAATAGCAGAGGCCGCCTCTGTAAAATGCCACCTGATGTCAAGACAACCACCACAAAGAAGGGAACTGATGATTATTATAATGCACCGGCATCGCCACACAGCCTGCTGTGATGCAAATTTGTTCCAGCACCTCTTCTGGCTGAAAAGAAACTTCCTTGTATGTAACCAAACAGAAACTTCTCCCTGAAGCACAATAATCTACTAGCTTTAATAGTGGTACCTCCAGTGACATTACCCAGTTTGAGTCAGACCCAATTCAACAGAAAGTCAAATTTGAGATACACGCAAAAAAAAAAAAAAAAAAAAAAATTAAGCATCCCACAATGTCAGTCTAAATCTTGAAGGATCTAAATCCAGTGCCTTAGCATAAACATACTCTTACTGAGATAGACCTCTCCCTCCTTGATTTAAGAGAGGATCATATTAGAGAAACAGGTTAGCCCACACTGGAGACGGCTTCTTGAGGATGGAGCACTCAGATACTTCCATGGTATCAATCCTGAAGCAGGATAACCTTCTCTGTTAGCAGACAGCTATAGAAAAACTTTGCCTGGGCTGCTGGATGTCATGGCCCCCACATACCTCGGGGTCACCAGGCAGCATGATAGCTGACTTTCCATGCAGCATGCTCAACAGCAGTAAATGCACGGCACTTAAAAAATCATAGAATGGTTTGGGTTGGAAGAGACCTTTAAAGGCCATCTAGTCCAATCCCCCTGCAGTGAGCAGGGACATCTTCAACTAGATCAGGTCACTCAGAGCCCCATCCAACCTGACCTTGAATGTTGCCAGGGATGGGGCATCTACCACCTACCTGTCTTCCAGTATTTCACCACCCTCATTGTAAAAAATGTCTTCCTTATATCTAGTCTGAATCTATGCTCTTTCAGTTTAAAACCATTACCTATTGTCCTATTGCTACATGCCCTACTAAAAAGTTTGTCTGCATCTTTCTTATAAGCCCCCATTTCAGTATTGAAAGGCCACAACAAGGTCTCCCCAGAACCTTCTCTTCACCAGGCTGAACAACTCCAACTCTCTCAGCCTTTCCTCATAAGAGACGTGTTCCAGCCCTCTGATGACTTTTGTAGCCCTCCTCTGGACCTGCTCTAACAGGCCCATGTCTTTCCTGTGCTGAGGGCTCCAGAGCTGGATGCAGGACTCCAGGTGGGGTCTCACCAGAATGGGGTAGAGGGGCAGAATCACCTCCCTCGACCTGCTGCCTGCTGGCCCCACTTCTCTTGATGCAGCCCAGGGTACGGTTGGCCTTCTGGGCTGCGAGTGCACATTGCTGGCTCATGTCCAGCTTTTCATCCATCAGTACCCCCAAGTCCTTCTCCACAGGGCTGCTCTCAATCCTTTCATCCCCCAGCCTGTATTGTTGCCAAGGGTTGCTCTGATCCAGGTGTAGGACCTTGCACTTGGAATCCAAGCACTTCCAAATTCCCAGAGGGCTTTTCTGTGCTACCATACAACCATGACACTGTAGAAGAAAATGAACCAACCCAGGTTATGCTCCACTGTTGCACTAGACTATATATTAAGTAGAAACCTTGAGGTGAAACAGCACAAATTGCTAAGTACCGCACCTATAAAGTTCTGCTGACCTCTATAACCCTGCCTACGCAGTTTGCAGTTGTTTAGGCTGACTTTTAGCCATACATTAGCACTCAAGAGTAATACAGCAACTCACCTAGCCTTCATACAAGCATGTTTCATTGTCCAGGCCAAATCATCATCCCAGGCCACACTAGACCATGCAGGGTCATTTTACCAAGAAGACAGACAGCATCATTAAAATAATTTCATTTTCTATCTGAAAATTGTCACTAATGCAAACGTGGTCCAAATAAGAAGTCATTCCAGATTAAATAATTATTAATGCAAATAAAGCTGTCATTAGACACACCAGTGGCTTAGCAGTTGTACTCAAAATTCTATTCTAAATGCAACAGGTTTGATTCTCACCCTGTCTTTCATGTTTGCAGCTGAGTCAACACCATGATTTGTGCACTGTATGACTGACCCATTCTGCTGGGCTCCAAAGTACATTTAAGTTAGGTTCTTGCATGGTGACCATTATCGCTCATTGTCCGAGTACCTCACCAGTAAGGACTTCTATCCTCAACCACGAAGATGTGAAACAGCATTGTCCATTTCAAAAAGGGAAACAGAGATCTACCGACATTCAAGAAATCTGTTGATTAGTAGGATCCACGTGAGGTTGCTCCTTCTAGCTGAGCAACCTAACCACTGGATCATTTCTTCTGCCTGGTCTGCCTTGGCTGCAAAATAGCACAGACAAGAGCATACAGAAGAAGAGATACAGATCAGAAAGTCTAAATTTAAGGAGTTTTCCCTGGTAATCCACTAATGAGCTAATAGTTTACATGATATTGAGAGTTTTATGAAGCTCCCATATAACATTCTCCTCTGAAACCAAGGTTTAGAGATCTTCACTTTTTTGTCTTTTGCCAGGAAAATGTTTCAAAACAGTGTTGTTAAAGACATCAAAGAAAGAATACAACTGACAAATTTCAACATTTGATGATGATGAAAACCACCGTTCTTGTTGATGAAATCAGAACGCTTTCTAAAATGTAATGACTACACTAAAGGATCAAGGGGCACTGATCAAGGCCGTTGCAGAAAGCATTAAAAAAGGTGATTTCCATCATAATTCGACTAGCACCATCTGTAATGACACAGCTTTCCAAGACACTGAAATGTATTCTTCTTCCAAAGAGGAAATGTGATAGAATCTTCATTTGACCCACGGGCCGTATTAACTGAAGATAAGACACTTCACAGACGTACTGTAGTGGAGATTATAGAGCTTCTTTTCTTCAATAACTGCCATGCATTACTGTTCACAATATTGTCTAGAGTTGAAGAGCAGTACACAGGTTTATGGATAATCCATGTCATGATACTTATACCAGTACATGTTCCATCATGTGTATTATTTTGGACATAGAAAGCTACTGTAAAGATTAATAGAAGTTTGAATTTTTCTAACAAGTGTCATACAGGAGGTGTACGAAGTTTTATAATGGATAACAATTACTTTAGGAGTAACCCAGTTTCTCAAATATTACTAAATTATTACTTTGTAACACATGCCAAAATAGACTTCTCTTTAGACACTTATTACTAAAATACATACACTGAACTAGGAAAAAAATATGTACCACAACATGTGCTTTTATCCCCTTCAGTGCTTAACTGAAAAACTGAGTTGTACATTTGTCTGTGTAATAATTTAACATATGTCAGCCAAACATATCTGTATCTTTATTTCAATTAAATTAAAAACAATCTGCAAGTATATTTATGCAACGTTCACTATATACACATGATTTATGCAACTGCAAGTCAATTCTATGTATGCTGATTAATCTGTTGTTAGTAAAACATGACAATAGCTATGGAAGTTGACCAGTGAGTGCTCCTTTTCACAAGTGACTGTTTTCATGGCATGACTGAAAAAGAATAGCTATTAGCCATGAAATGGATTATCAGTAAACCTTAAAAAGAACGTGACATAACCTAGCAGAGATTAACAGTCTTCTAAATGTAGTAGTATATTTACTTCGGATGATAGTGCTGCTTTTTTTTAAAAAAAAAAATCGCTGTCATCTTAATGATGTAAGACTTTAATCTGCTTTATCTAAAGAGAGCAATAATTAGACATTATGCTTCCTGGCAAAAATTTATTTTTGAACTGGCACCATAATATTTCAGAAAATAATAATAAAGTACCTCTTTGGTGAAGCCTAGGTACCCCCTACTACTCATTGTAACAACTTGTAAACAGGACCGCAATACAGTGCTTTGCCTTAATTCTAGCTCGGTTAGGTACCACAGATCTTCCTCACAGTCCTCTTCATAATTTTAGGAAGGTATTTTAAAGCAGGGAGTAAAGCAAAGGAAAACTAAGAAGGATATAAAGTTCCCTGTTTGAGATTTAAAAAAAGTGCATAATGTTTTCATTCCAAAAACTGTGCCACTGTATGGAACTGATGGATACAAGGCTGTTTTCCTTTCTGTACTGGACATTATTGATCACTACACAAACACAAGTCTCTGCTCATTGGCCAAAGTCTCTCAAGTCTGTTTTCTGGTACAATCAGTTGTCCAATTACTTTAGAACAGTGTCCTGCATACTAAAACAAGAATAGCAAGTTAACCAGTTTTTGTACTAGAATGTTTTTGCAATTCCATTTCTGTACACTGCATTTCCAATCTATTGGAGAGTTTTTAGTGTTTGGCATACACATCCCAACTCCTTGGCACCACCAGGTTCAGTGCATCCATTGCCAGCAACAGACGTAGCACCAGGAAAATGAGACTCCCAGCGCAAGGGATAGTTCAGGAGGAGTGGGCATTCTCCAGCAACGGTGGTCCGTCCCGATGCATCGATGGGTGTGTGTGCTCCCTTTTATAAGTTTTTGGAGGAAGCTTTGGGATATGTTGAGAAGTGCTTTGTCGTGGAGGAACAGGTGGTCCAGCAACAGAATGGAGGTCCACATCTTGTGGTATCAAAGGTGGTGATGGAAGATGCCTCCGTGCTACATGTGGAGAAGGTGTCTGAGGGGGAGGGGGAGTAAACGGAGATGGACTGTTTGGGAAAAAGGTGTTACCAAGTTCGCTTTTTCTCCCCAGTGGTGGAGGCTGGAGGTGTAGTGGTGAGCTAGAGAAAACATCTGGAGTTCGCACAGGTTCTCGTGGTGGTAACACAGGAGGGCTTTCAGGGGGGTCAGAGACGCAGGTCCGGTCAGGCACTGAGTACCTTGGTGAATACACTTTAGAGGTTGGTTGCCTAGGAGGGATTGCTGGTGGGCTGTCCAGGTGTGCAGAAGTAATCTGAGGTACACAAACATTTCATTCAATAAAATTTTAGAGTGGCAGTAAAGAACAGGACCCTGCTGTGAAATGGAAGCAGAGCTCCTGCCCTGCAGATTGCTCTTATCCAGTTAAGGAAGAGGCACAGCAAGCAGGTGCAGAATGAAGATGGGGAGTATGGAAGCAAAAGGGAGTGGCAGTGCCTGAAAAACATGTTTCTCAGAAGGATGTGGACAGAGACTGGATGTGCAGGGGGAGAGCAGGGGTATGTCAATACATGAGTTAACAACCAAGGATGGAAGGAAAGAAGATACAGAGAGTGGGACAAAGAATGGTCAAAGCAACAATTTCCATGCTAGTTCCGGGTCTGCTTGTCAGGTAGGTGCGGATATCTTCCACCACTTCCCCAGTAACAAGCACTTGGGGTGGGTAATAACACCAGGTATTTCTCAAAGAAAATGAGGAAAAGGGAGAGGCAGATGATGCTGAACAAGGAAAAAAATAAACTATGCTCAGAAGATGGAATTAAGTAGTCAGAATTATTGAACAGTTCCCCAGCTGCAGACCACAATGACAGGGTAATTGGTGTCCAACAGCCTATCACGTATATGACATTTGCAATTACATTTTGGTAGGAACGTGATGTGTTAAACTCCGCTGGCTGACAGCATAGTCACCTGCAGTCTGAAAACAACTTGCCAAAGAGCCATATACAGGCCCTCTTCAAAGACTTGCATGCTCTGAAGTAATTTTGAATGGGATTTTCAAATGCACCCAATTCTCTGAAGTCACAAACCAGCTCCAACTGAAATCAAGAGACATTTGACACTGTCTGCAAAAAAGGCTGGATCAGATCCCAAATGCCAGACAAATGCAAAAGGAAAATGTAGCAATGGCTCAAGCAGGCAGGCAGACAGGACAGGTAACCAAGAAGGGAAAGAAAGCACTGAGCATCACAGCATCAGGGTCAAATATTCTAATGAACCTTTTCAGAGGACTGAGCTGTACATCACTTTCCATCATTACTATTCTTCAGTTCTTTAACCCCACTCATACACTCTAAAATAAAACTCTGGGACAATTATCGCAGATGGAAACATCTGCCTGAAACCTCACGTTCTCACAGGCAATGTGAGGGCTGCAGCATAGTGGAGCAGTAGACAAGAGAAATTTCTAACCCTAAATTTAGGTCCCATCTGTTAATTTTAATTCATTTGGGATCAGGACATAATGAGGCAGAGCTGTGAAGGCTTGAAATACTCTTTCACATACAGTTCTTCAAAAATACATGTACTATCTTTAAGAGTTACTTTTCTATCATACTCTGCGCTCTGCTCCCAGAAAAAAAACCCCCACCCTTTTTTCTCCTTCCTTACTTTTGATGGAGAGGATTCAGCTGGGGCAGACTCTGGTCTTCTTCGTGGAGGTACTGGAGGGGGAACATGAGCTTCATCTGAATTTTTGGTAAAGTTTATGGATGACACAGAAGCAGATCCTAGTGGACATAAAAAAAAAATCCTGATAATGACAAATTTTTGTTTGACTCTGTTTATTTCCTTTATTGCTGCCAATAAAGGTGTCATAAGTAATAAAGTCATTGCTCATAAAAAGCAGCATGAATCAAGAAGGTGTATTAAAGAAACACAATGAAACAACCCTCTACCTTGCAGCTTCCAGACAAACTGATTTTCTGAACTGCAATCGCCTCTGCGGCCATCAATTCCTATTCATTCTTAAGTAATCCTCGAGACCAAAGCCACGCTACAAAGTTCTTCTTGCATCACAACAGCACTAAAACACTATTCTGAACCTGCAAGTCAATAGGCCAACCCAATGAAGTAGTATCTTCTTCTGAAGAGATATTCCAGAGACCTAGCTTGGACACTCAGCAATGTCACTGCTCTGATAAGCAACTTCTGCTTTTCGCAAGTTATTTCACCTATTTGTGGCAACCAGCTGAACACAGGACTAACCTTGTACTCCTTTGAAAGCCCTCACACACAAAAGGAGGCCATGTCCACTATAAATTACTGAAAGGACACTATAAAATATGAGCTTCCTTATATGTTGGTGAAGACCAAAAGAAAATATGTGTGGATGGGTCCTGGTGGATTTAAAGCAGGGAAATGCCAATTTTAAGTTCTGCAGGAAAACCATCCATGCACACTGAAACCAATTTGGGAATGGCAGACAGCAGAATAAGGCACACACAAAACGTCCATTTTTTTTCTTATTGTTCACCATCAGATACTCACCGAATACATTCACCACATATATCTGTGGCAGCAAATCCCACAAATGTTTGTTTGGGACATATATGAGCCCTAGCAGTATAGCTCTGACATGTAATACTCTCTATGTAACACACCTAATTCTGTTCAGTTTCTCTCTTTAAGATAAAAAACTTGTAAGAAAAAAAAGAACAAAACATACTGAAAGCTTTTGCTGCTGCCAGGAGACAAAAGCAACTATTTCTATAGTCACTAAAACATGTTTAGCATGTTAACACTTGTTTAGCACCACAAAATCAAATACACACATTCTTCATAGACAATCTATTAACACCTACTTGCATGAAAAGGACTTGAAGGATCCGAGTCAAACACACTGCAGGCATCTGTAGTACTTGAAGTAGCAGAAGCAGGGGGAGGGGTCAAAGGTGTTCGGGGAGAGTTTGGTGCAGATGCTGTAGTTTCAGTCTCGCTCTCTGGGATGCGGCTGTAACTAATTTTCCTTGGCTCCTGTTGCAGGGGTGTAGGATGTCTCATGGTACCTGGCCTTGGATTAGAGGGACGAACACCTGGGGACTTGAGAGGATAGCTGTATTTTTTGGGCTGAAATGACAAAAAAGATAGTATCAAACAAAATCAAAAGGCCACAAGATCACCTAAATCTAAAATTACTTCTGCTATCTATGAAAGACAAAGGTAAGCATTTCTTAAAAAACCAAAACCAATGAATTGAATACTAACAAATCTTGGTGGAGGCTTGACATTTCGTGGCTCTATCTCTAGTGACTTGTTGAACAGATAATCTGTAAATTCTGTCTCCATGCTGTTTCCCATTGGATTCAGGTTTTCAAAAAATCTCTGAAATACAAGAAGGTAGAAAACTTGTCAGCTAAGCTACTTCTTACTAGCTTAGTACTGTTTGTTTCTACCACAGAAACAATCCCAACTGTTCCAGAGAAGAGAGAAAATGCTGGAATCAGAAGTAATGATAGATTTTTAAGTCATTAAATCTGTTTGTTGCCAGCCCTTTGCTAGGCATTGCCACTGCTATGCTTGGCCTGAAAACCAACTGTGCAAGTACCCTAAATACTTTCTGCAGTGCAAAAATCAGACCAAGTTAGCTCAAACACCTTCAGAAGAAGCTGTATGTAGTCCATCTTCACACTGATGCAGGGAAGACTGCTCTCACAATGCATTCTGTCAAACCCTAAGAAGAACAAATAACAAAAGAAAATCTTGCAGAATCTCTTCAGATAACCTGTCCTATGACTCTCTGAAAGTATATAGCTCAAAAGATACTTAAAAAAAAAAAAAAAAGGAAGGTAAAAGAAAAGGAAGAATGAAAAGCAAACAGAGGAGAGAATTGCTTAGAGAACACTACAGACCAAGGATAATAAACAACAGGAGAAAGTAAAATGTGAGTATCATCACTGCCAACACGTCAGGTAAACCTGGAAACTTAAAGGCAGTGTAACAGAGGAGGAAAAAGACAACTGGGCTCACTGGAAAAATAAACCCAACTGAATGAAGGACAGTGAGAATCTGGTAGTTTCTGTTCCTGTTTAACACTGATCAGTAAGAAGATCTATCTACCAATATCCCAACAGCTGGGGGCAGGGGGGACCAAAACCCACCAAACTGCAAGCATTGAGTTTTCTGCCCTTTCTTACAGTGAGACCAGAGAGATACTTTGTGACAGGCCTTCTGCTAGTCTCAGATTCAGTCTGATTGAATCTATGTGAATTCAGTCTGTCCTTATAGCCTATCAGCCAGAGTCACCACAGAAGTAGTTCAGTGCACGGACTCAAGGAAATAATGCCACTTACCCTGATGTCAAATTCCACTCTTAAACAATATGGCTGGTTCTGGTACTGCTGTATCTCTCCTGTTATTTCAGCTACCTTTCTTCTCTTGCTGAAGTTTATAAGTTCTTTCCCATGTCGCTTTAGAAATTCAGGGTTGCCTTCTTCTGTTTTCAAAATGTTAGTTAAGTAAATCCCTAGAGAGCACACAGAAGAGGTTCTCAACATACAGTACAAAACAAGGAGAAAGTCACATGACCGGAATACAAAGAATTCTTAAAGAATTTAAATTGTGCATTCTGATTACTTAGAAAAATTCTCTGTTAGGGTCAATAAGAGAACTGCACCTACTTTTCAAATAAGGGCAATAATTTAAATATTTTAATATACCTTTTCCATAAAGCTACCTCTTTTGCATCAAAATCTCTGCATCTTTCTATTGTTTAGGAAGCTCACACAACTGAACACTACTACCATTTTGCAAGACAAGAGTACACTGAACTCAAGTGCTTCCTCTCAACTGTTCTGTCTCAATTCAACTCTACTCCATTAGAGACCCCAGCCCAACTCTAATTATTTTCAGGTTTTATTTTTCTGCTCCACTCTCCACTCCTGGCTTCATCATTGCATCAAATCATTTGAAGATTAGAAAGAAAAGATCACTCTCAAGTTCACAGATAATGTATCTGGAATTGTCATTATGACTCTAAGTGTAACTTGAGAGAAATAACTGAAGCTATTCACATGTGATCCTGCTAACCTCTACTCATCTCTGAAGCAGGACAGAAGGTTTCTTAGTTGATCTTATCTTTCTTTGCAGAGCTCTGGAGTATATCTTTCCCCAATCTGTAAAAGGCCAAAAAAGCCATCAACACTATTTTCTTTTGGTTTTGGCCTAAAGCCTATGCTGGACAAGTGTAACGTCCAGGGTTGGAACTGATCTGCAGCAAACATCCAAACAGCTTGCTAAAGAACAAGAATGCCATGTGCTTAACTTCACAATTTGCTAAACGCCAGAAATTCCAAGCAATCTACTTGAAAAAGAACTGTTATGTCTGATGATAAAGAAGAGGCTTTCTTCCCAAACTCTGCTTTTATGGAAATAAGACTTTAATAGAAATAAGACTCTAGTTATAAGAAACTATCAAAATTAAAACTCTAGCTTTATTTCTTGGAATTCTTCATGGGGAAGGGAGTCCTTTGTTATCTACTGTCAATAGCAATAATATTTCTAATGTGACTGTCTTCCATTTAAGGCATTTATGGTCACAACACAGTTCAAACCACATTCAAAGTAAAAATTAGTAAGTATGTAAATAAGGTATCGCAGATATACTTATTTTTACTGCAAATAACACCTGCAATTAATAGTCACTTTAATTTTTCTTTCACATATATGCAATTACTGTCTGGGCACCTGAAATTTAAACCCAACTGTCCTGTTAAAACTGACTTCTCACTATTGATCATACTCTGTTTACTGCCCTGGCTCAATACTTTCCAAATGTTTATGCATGATACAGCTCATTCAAACCAAACATACTTACCAAAAAAAGGCACACAAGGAGGATTAATGGACCTGAGTTTTGCCAAGTATTTCTTATAATGATCCTCACTTAGCTCATAAGCTTCTTCTAAAATCTTCTTCTGGCGACTTGGAATTTGCTAAAAAGAGAGATGAAACACATTGTTTGGAAAGACAGGGTGAAGGTGTAGCCAAGCAACAATACTGAGAGTAATAGTCTCCCACTGATATTTAAGTCAGTGCCCCAGCATCTCAGGATCTCGCTACCTTTTTCTGCCTTTCTTAAGTGAGGATTGATTTCTTTCTTCTGAAACCAAGAAAAAAGCCTCTCAATTACACCCTGATCAATTAATTTGTTGTGGGATTTACCTTCATTGCTCCTTCTTTGAAGGACATGCTTACTGAAAAGACAGGCTTTTATACGGTAGCTAAGGTGCACTGCATTACATTTCCATACCAAAAATGGAAAACATTTCACTGTACCTCAAATGTGTGATCCAACCTATACACTGCAGCAGAGTTCATAGCACTGACAATCTCAAGGACACCATTAAAGTTGTTTAGCTCTTGAAAAACTTGCAGGATCTCAATTATCCGGCTCACTACAATTACTCTTTCCTCTAGGTTTTCTGTTTCTACAATGCATCTAAATAGACAAGAACATTTTATTTTGTATTAAAGCATTGATGAGTTTTCCAAAATCAAATATTAAGTCATAAACACAAACAAATACAAAAAGTTTATCAAATTACTTGACGAAATTTTTAAAATTTTTAGAGAATAAACATTTGAAAGTATTCTAATAATAAAAAGCTGAGTCCATTATGATAAGATTCTTGCAGAGACTAGTTATAGCATCTAAACATGACTTAAAACTGGAATTCTCCTAGAACAGAATTTTTCACCGAATACTTCTGAATGGACAGTAAACGTCCAGAAATGGAGTAGGTGCAGATTCAGGAAAATCACTTACTTTTCAAACCACAAAGTGAGGTTAGTTGTATGCCTTATCATTTTGAGAAGGTTTGGAGAATTAATCTCTTTATCTTCCTTTGTCCACACACTTCCAACTAGTTCAGATGGCTGCACAGCTCTAGAAAAGTAGATGCATGTATCAAAAATGTAATTAAAAGCAGGAAAGAAGATATTTTTTCCCCAAATCTCTTTACTTCCAGTGAATTTGGAATTAATATTTGGAAATAAATTCTTCCAAGTGTCACTCCTCTTCTATAATGTTAGGGTCCCCACATGACTAAGTGACTGGTATTTCTGTGCTTCTTTTTTAGTGTGTAAATGTTTCTTAGTTTATTTGAGTATTAACCACCTCTGTTCATCTAAATGAAGAATGAAGTCTAATCTCATTTGCCATAATAAAATGTGAGCTTCCAACACCTGAACAGCCTCTCACAGACAGCTGGTGAGGTCTGCCACGGTCCATAATTTGCTTCATAAACTAGGATATGAAGAAAACTGATTTAATTCATGTTCGTACTCAGTGGTTGATCTACGTGGAAAATATCAAGAGAAACCTGCAGCAAAATGCAATTAACAGTATGCATCAGTCACATGTACCGCATGTTAACTTGGGGAGGATAAGACAGATACTGTTGTTTTTTTTTTTTTTCCCCTGAAAAAACAGCAATTAATATACAGCATTGGTAAAGTCCCTTGACCTACCGTGGGGCTTCACAGCAGGGGCCCGCAGAGAATATCATGCTGGAGAATATTTTGGTTTGTGTCATGTGTTTTTCAATGGAGGAAAGTTACCTGTAAAAATCTGACTCAAGTAAAGTGAGCTGCCGAGCAATTTCTATTGGATGCAAAGTGAGCAAGTCAAAAGTCTCTGTGTGTCCTGGTTTGCTTATGTGCCATTCAATCGCCGGAGGTGGGCTCTCAAAAGTAATGTTGTGACTTGGCCCAATGGCTTGTGCCTGCTTTTTCCGGTTAATTATCTTTGTGATCGATTCAACCCATTTCTTCATCGCTTTGCCTGGCACACAGAGAGAAAGTTACTATTTAGTTACTCTTAATACTGTTTGCCCAAAGAGGTCAGTATAACTTAGAAATCTTTGGATTTAAATCCAAAACCTATGAAATTGAAGCAGCCATATTCTTTAGAAGTGCGTAAGTGGTGTTCTCACACACGTCTTGAAACTTTTAAACATATAAAGAATTCCTCAACAGCCAATACTGAGCATGCCAAGTTTGCCCAAGCACAATTCAGAATGCCCAAATTAGGGTCTTGCTCCAAATTGGGCATTTTCCTTTCTTTTTTGACTTTACAATGAGTCTATGGGAACTAGCTTTCTTTTGGCCAAAAGGCACTTCTATAAACACCCTGAACTTTATACTTTGGGCAAGAGTACATGCTTACCTCAGATAACATAGAAGGGCAAAATAACAAACAGGGAAAAACTTCTCCCTCTATTGCATTTAGCATCAAAGCTCAGAATAAAACCCAAAGGCCAAATGCCTGTTTAGCTCTACACCGTAAGAGTTTCATGCATGAGATGGCAAGTCCATTGAAAATTTACTAGTAATTCACATTAAACTAGCTGGCTCATTCTCCTTCTCTTTGCAGTTGCTAAATAGCCATTAAATACTTCTCTAATGCAATATTTTCCTACAAACTGCTCCTGTCACTGTCTCCATTTTTCTTACAAGGGAACAGGAAAGGTCTGTACAATCACAACTGGAAGGTGTCCTAATATGCACTGTGAAACAGCTGAAAACCCCTTGCTTCAAAGAAATAGTGGCTTCCACCATCAAACTTTTAGAAAAATTAAGCGTGTATCATTTAAGAGGACAATCAAAGCAACCATTCTGTCTTGGTCATTACTCAGTTATTATTATTTTGCATTATTTAAGTCCCTTTATAACAAAACCAATACTTATTTATCAGGATGTATAGAACATTCATTCTTCTGAACAGGGGTCAGCCTTGGAATAATAGTGGGCTTTCTTCTTTAAATTAAGGTTTATTTTCTGTTCTCTGCAAAGTATTTAATAAGCACTCAGTCCTGTTTATCTGCTCAGTGAAAGGAAAAGTGATCCCATTTCCTACCTTTGAAAAGGGATGCTTTATGTTAAATGCCAGCACTTAAGAAATGGTAAGTACCTCTTACTGTTCCAATGAATTCCTCCAAACGTTGCAGAAGATCAGCATCTCTTTCAAAGTCATAGAAGTGGTGTTCTACCCAGTGTCGACACACATTTAATACTCTGCAAAAGCAAAGGATAAGTAAGCACACTACAATGCAGTCTATCTTCAGGTCTAGCATTTCAAGGCTTTTAGGAGGTGAGGGCTCACAGGAATATCAGAATCAGCAGACCAAATGCAGTTATTCTACTGTCTGCATTTCACCAGTAACCAGCTATAAGCATTTTTCTACTTTAAATTCAAAGAAGTCAGAGTAATGCTATTGTTCATAAAGAGAACATTATCTAAAATGTTCTCTGCCTATATCCTTGTGGCACATTTATGCTGCATAGCTTTGCAGAAACATGAATTTTTTTAAAAAATGTGAGTATAAGAAACTAATTTGCACACTAATAGTCTAAAACTCAGCACAAGCCTTTCCCAAGGCTTTTCATGCCATCAATTCAAATTCCCACCAGGTTTTCAAGCAGTAGGCTGATTTTCCATGCACTCTCCCTATCTGAGCATCTACAAGAAAGGCTGCTGGTATCACAAAGAGCCACTGCATCCAAAACGTGGTACTTCAAAAGACTTAACTCACATTGATGCAATACTCACCGTAGCTGCACAGGCTGAATGTACTCTTTCCTAAATCTTTTTAACTCTGCACTAAGAGGCTGGTCTCCATTCTCCATAGCAATACGATCAGCTTCTGTTGGCTCAGGCTCTGGAATTTCAAATCTAGCACAGAAGATGGGTATTAACACTAGGCTCCTATTACACTAATCTTGCTCACAACATGCACAAATAAAATGTTGATTAAAGATAGGTCAAAATTCAGAAAGTTTCCAATTATCAGAATCTTACGTCTTGGTAAACATATAGGAAGATTTGCTAAATTCAGTAACAACACAGATTTCACAGACAAAACTGTGTGATGCTGGAAGTTACTGGAGCTACCTGAACAATCCTAAAGCTTCTGGATATAACTTGCACATTTTACTTGCAATCCTTGAATCTGGCAACTTTTTAAAAAGTGTTTGGAGTGAATCAAAACCAACTGGAAAACAAGAATCTTACAAGCTCTATGTAAATTTTTTTTTTTAAATTGCACTTCGTTAGAACTATATTTTTAACAGTGGCATACCTTTCTATTAGCAGACTCAGCAACTCTTGAGGTTTACAGAAGGATCTATATGTTGTGAGAAAAGTCCGAACAAAGTTGGGATCTAAGACAAAGAATAATTTTTTGCTCATGTCAGCAATTACCTAATTTTTTTATACTTTAAAATAACTTTAAGTATACTTTAAAATTAAGGATGCCTGCCTATCAATTTACAAGAGAGGATGATGTAAACCAAAATTGCTTTGGTAACAATTCAGAATCTCTTAAAACAGCAATACAAAACAGAATTTAAAAACAATTTCTGTTCTGTTGAAAATTCAATACAATGACTTTTTCTTTCCCTTCAATTATTAAATGACTGGACTTTTTTTCAACAATTTTGAAAATAGTAAGTAGATGATTTTAGTTATGAGCCATCTAGTAAACAATTTTGGTTTTGACAATGATCAGGACAACATAACTCAGAAGACGCAGCAGGTCACTTCGCATTGGAAAATTGGCCTCTTCAAGGCGAAAATGTTCTCCTTAAACTGATAACCAGTCATGGTTAAGCCAGGCTAGATATTTTTTCAGCTAATTGAAAGCTATACTTTGAGGTTATATTTATTTCACTTTAAGCAAATCAACAGATTTAATTTGAATTGACTAGTTACCTATCAGTTCATTCTAAATATTCAAATGCATTTTAAAAACAAGCAAGTATTCAAAACAGAAACCCAAAGTGTCTCCCTTAATTACAAAAGCAAAAACCCATTTGTTTTCAAGCATGAGGAAATGCAGTGACAGCACACTGGCACTGCACAGAACTGACTAGAAACAATGTTAACATTGTTATCCCCAAACAAAATTAATGAGTGGGTTGCAACGGCTTTGCATATTAAATCCATATAGAGATTTTAAAAACAAACCCCAACTGGTAATTTTTCTAACACAGAGTGACTGAAAGGACACACAGGACTTGAAGCAGGAGTTCCTATAGGCTGTAATGAAGAAAAAACCACCTGCGTTATTTGACCTAACACTATATTAAGGCATTAGACTTGTTTCCTGGAATAAGGGTTTTTAAGAGCTTTTTTAAAAGCCTCCTTAACTATTTACCAGGATCTTGTCCATTTGAATGAACATTCTACCTTTCTTGGATCCTACTAAGCTCTTCATTTGGGCAACAGTTTACTGTAATATGTCATACAAACTAACTGTGTATTGTGTAACACAGCATTTCCTTGCATTTCTGTTGTACGCCAGTTCCCATTTCTTGAACAGCTGGCAATTCTGCTTTACCATCTCTATGTCCTTCATCACTCCATTTTTCTCATCATAACGCCTCTCCCACCTCTCCTTGACACTGTACAGTATAAAATCCTTTTCAAAGGCAAAACCTAAAAATCCTTTTGCAACGAAGAATGTCATCCCTGTCCCCGTCATCCTTACCATGAAAATACACAATTTTTGTTGTCCTACAAAACAAGTATAGAAGTAAGCACAGTAACTCAAGTTTTCACAGCTTGCATTCTGTACACAGCATCCACCCTTAATAGATTTTGACCACATGAAAAAGAAAGCCTCCATGGCAATTAGCATTTTCAGATCACTGCAAGCTCTGAGTCATAGCTATTGTTATTTACAGGTAGGGTTAGTGTTTAAATCCACAATATATACTGATTTTCAGATGAAGTAGATCAGAAATATCAAAATCTAACCTTGTTATCTCACTAGCAAAATCTGTAACTCAAAATGGTGTACAATATATGAGCAAGCATTGAAAAAAATACAGACAACACTAGCTAAGTCAGGATGTCTGCTCATGTGATAATTCTCTTCAATACAGCCAATTTGAAAGCTGAAAAAGAACAATAACTTGTTCTACAAGGATTTATAAATAATCACCCTTGAATTCCTTAAGAAAGGAAACGGACACTATGATGACGCACAAGCACTCTTAACATATCAAAGCTTTAAAAATAGAAGAGCACTGCCCTATAGATAAAAAAATTGCCACAACTTTCAAATCTTGGTACCACCTAACCCAGCTGCTCTTAAACAAGAATCAGGCAAATGAGGAGATAATGAATGCAGAAACACATTACAGTAAGTAAAACCCACCAGAATATGCGAATAGGGTCAGAACCCAAATTTCTAATTGAAAGGCAGTTTCATGTAATAATATATGGAAAGCTGATTTTGCAGAGGAGATTTCTCCCTGGTTTACTGCTCCACCACAGAAAGGTTTGGACAGTCTGCTGCACCTTGTGGCCAGGTGGCTGTCAGGACTGTCTCCCTGTCCTAGCTCTTGCCATGGCTGGATGCCTCCTACTCCAGCAGCGCTGCTTCGTTAGAGCTAGTTCCCCAGCAAAACAGAGAAATATTTCAGCAGATAAGCTGGTTTGTGCATTGTCATGGAGGCAAGGGAAGAAAAAAATAAAAGGTCCAACAACCATGCATACAAGTGAGATGGACTGTGTGGATCTTCACAAATGACAAAAAGTCGAGACCTGATTTGACTATCGTCTGAACACAGCCCACGTACTCCTCAATATGCAATTAACTAAACTGCTCTTCAGCTACTTGCAACAAATCGGTACCATCTCTGCAATTATATCTGTAATTATTCCTTATAGTATTTGACCTACAAAGATAAAAACCTAGAGAAGAGTCACAGCTATGGTAAATAGCTGTCTTTAGACTGCCAGATCAAGGGCTGCCATAACCATTCACACCATATTTGAGAAAAGTTGCCTCAGAAAAGTAAGGGCTTGCTATTCTGGCATATGAAGTGTTCTTTTAAGACTACAATCACACATACACAACCCTACGTGGGGCAAGAAAAGCATTTCTACCATCTGTAGCTGTTTGGCTAGACATCACCAGAGTATGCCTCTTATTCTATGTCTCCAAGCAAAACAGAAATTTTGAACTCAGCTGATATGTCTATGAAAGAAGAGTAAACGGTTACTATGGAAAGTTGTTGCCCTACTCACTGCATCTCAAAATGCAACAAAACACTAAATGATTTACATAGTAAACGGACCTTGTTTCCTATGCAACAGAGCATTTTTGGCTGAGTCATTATATCTCTATTTCTTTGTTCCCTTGGAAAAGACAGCACAGAATGGTTAGAACTATGACATTTTTCCTCATAGAAAACCAATTATAGAAAAGAAGGTATAGAATGAAACATCAGGGTGTTGAGAAATTATGTGCAACCTAGAAATTCAGCATCAGGTCCATGTATGTTGCACTAAGATCTTAAAGGCTACAAAGACAGGCTAAACACATCACAAGACAACCATTTTTACTCTTTTGGTCAAAGTCTTTCAGCCTATTTCTGAGTACCCATGATCCCAGTTTTGTCATACAATAGTTTGGTCAATGTCACACATGCCTACAGTGTTAGGCTTCAAGCAACCTACTTACAGCTATATTAAATAGGGGCTGTTACAAGCACAGATTTAAATGACTGTGGACAAAGGCGGATCTAATCAGTCAAACCAAATTCTTCATTGATGCCCTATGTGCTAGAAAGGCCAAAAAGACATGCAGATGCAAAAAAACAATACAAGAGACATATTTCAACAAGTCATATGTTCCGTAAATACAGGCCTTTCTGTTTTACGGAACTGGAGAATGTAGCTTGTGGCTCCCTGGACAGAGATGATGAGTGGAGAGCACTGCTAGCACCTGGAGCAATGCTAAGGCTAGGGCACCAAAGTCCCAACGTGTATAGAAAGGGCAATTCTCGATGGTGCACATTAGCCAAAGCAAAGCAAATGTTCACAAGGGCACTAATGAAGTACCATTTTTGCTAATTCTCTGCCAAATACAATGCTAGCTTTAAAAAAAAAAAAAAAGTGTCTTCCTTTCTCTAAGGCTGAATTGTTTTATTTTGACTTCCAAAACCATAAAATTATGTCATAAATCATGCCTGTAAAATTCAAAGCCAAGAGCTAAAAGTTTATAAAATTACAAGAAAACAAAGACAGGCACAAAGCTGCCCTGGTGAAAACTGTCAGCATGATATTGCATTTGGGTTTCTAATAAATGTTAGGAAAGCTTAGCTGAAAGAAATGTGGAGAAGGACAATAAAAGTAATGGAATAAACAGATGTAGTTACAAGCATTTAAAAAAATAAACAGAAGTACTAACTACACTAATTGTATTCTGCTTACTCCCTACTCCTTCCAAACAAATATTTCTGGTCTATGAAGGGTATCCAGGACTGAGCTGCAGAAGAACAATATAGGATAATCAGTGTAAAAAGTAAAAATAAAGAAAAAAAAAAAAAAAGAATCTACAGCTGAATATGAGAATACCAAGATGCATGGAATTTTAGAATAACTGACATACAGGTAGAATAAAAAAAAAATAATTAAAAAATTGAAACCCCAAACCCAACCCATGCTTTTTAGCACAACTTATGAAAATCCCAGGAAGTCAACAAGAAAAACTCCACACATTGAGGTTGGACTGGACAATCACAAACCTTTGACACGAACAGAAACCCAAAGTCCTTAAATCAAAACCCCCACTGAAATTGTGATTAAGGCAAAGTTCCAAGGCCAAAGTGACTGCTTCTAGCAGCTGGTAATTGGCCTTTTCATTACACACCAGCATGGACACAGGTAACAGTTGACTGAGTACAACTCTTAACTGAAAACACTGGGCCCATAATTCTCTCCCACAATGCTGGCACTACACGTGCCACCCAGCTTTGGAAGTCTCAAGGGAAGGCAATTCTTGTAGCCGAGGGCATACAGGAAAAAGTATTGTCTAGAGCTGAATTCCTGCAGGCCCCCACCCCCTTCATCCCTTGCATAAGAATAACCTTATGCACATGCATATCCCACTACATTCTGCCAAACAGGATTCATATTTTTAACTGCTACAGCAGTGCATATTTAGATTTCTAAACCTTAACTCAAAAAGTATGTTAGAATATGTCCACTGCAAAGCATATTCACTTTCTACACAGTTTATATATTTTGCTGCATGTATTTAACACAGAAAAAGAAGCATAATCTAGTCACCACCTTGAGTTTTCGCTATATAAATGAAGTGCCTCACCTGCATACATGTGGTAAGTCAGCCTCTCAATGAGCTTGACAACAGTTCCTGCCTTGATGATGGGGATTCCAGATTTGGGCTGCATGTTTTCTTCAAACACAATATTCTCTTCAGAGTCAGGTTCTGCAAATCTGTAAAGCTCAGGATTTGGAAATCTCATCTGCTCCTCTTTTTCTTCCTGCAACATTGTTACATCCAACATCCTTTCTAGCGTGCTTCTATATTGCAAAGATATCAATGCTGCCATCCAGTTGTTTTTCTCTTCAGCAGATTTAGCAGCAAAAATAACACTGTTCTCATCTTTTAAGATGATTTCAAAAGCATGTCTGTATTCATTAGTGTCATCTTTATCGTTGATTTGTACCTTTCGCATGAAGAACTTTTCTTTTAGACGATATTCTGCATTGCTAGCACCAGGAAGTCTTGGCTGGCCATGATTTGACTTACAGCAAATCATCAAGCCATCAAATAGAAATATATGTCTCTCGTGCTTTGCTCCTACACGAGTAAGTGTTCCTTCCATGATGAACTCGTTACAGCATTGTCCAATGTCCTTACCCTCCCAACCATCAATATTTTTCTGGATTTCATTCATTTTCTTAATTGCTAGCTGTTTCCCCTTCATCTGCTGAGTATAGAATCGGCATGCAGATTCACTTCAGTGAAGGGTGAGAGAAAGGCAGCCTTTTAGTATACATGTATTTAAAAACCACAACCACTACTAACAGCAAAACCACAAGCTCATCTTTCTGAGTGGTGAGAATTCCACAAAGAATGCAATTTCAGCACAGTATCAGCACCACTGCAAACCTTGACTAAAGTTTCTCTGAATTACCACATCCGATCAGTTTTCTACCTATTTTCTATGCCATGAATGTTTTACCTAAACACAGGTAACCAGGAGTAGGCAAGCCATTAGGGCTTCTTAGCCTAACAAACCACTTATTCCCAATAGCCAACAATTTTAGATTGCATTAATTTGAAAGAAGCACATTCAGAGAAAATAAGCTGTTAAATGCATTCATGCCCACGCCTAAAGATTACACTTTGCAGCACAGAACTTGTTTGACAAAGAAAATATTGAAACAATTTTAAGAGGAAAAGCAAAGTTTTAACATGTTTAAATAACTGCACAAATATTGGCATTAAATCAAACAGCAGATAGTATAATACAAAAATTTGCTACAACAGTGCAACTAAGTACTAGTTATCTATCCATCTATTTCTATTATCCGGTGGTAATTTTAACTAGTCATTGCACAAAAACCTCTTCAGATTAAGTAGTTTTGAATTCAAGAACATTCCCTTCTAATCACACAAAAATGTACTTTTACAATATTTTTAGGTGGATATTTATTATCTGGGCATAATTAACCCACAAATGCCATAACTGTCTACTTACCAGTGAATTCTCAAAACGTCTCAACTACCAGTATGCAAGGACACATAGAAATTAGAACAGTTTTAAAACAATAACAAATTATCTTGGCTTTGATGTCACTTCCTCTGAAAAAGCAGGCTTGTCACAAACTATTTTGTTCATTGTTTACTAAAAGAGGAAACTAGGAGCCCTGGATTTATAGCAAAGCACTAAGAGCAGAAAGCAGGAAAAATGGAAACATGTTTACCTAAGCCTTCGTTTTGCAAGACTTTTGGAGCATATCCGTTCCATACTGCTTTGAAGATTTAGTAGGGCAGTTATTGCTTGCTTTAAGCACTCTTTATCCTCTTCATCCTCACTTTTTTCTTCCAATTGCTGTGAACATTGAAAGTCAAATACAAAAAGTGTTACGAGCATTTTGGTACGTGCAAATCCAGAAGTTTGACCTAGGAAGAAGAAATCCAGCCACATGCTGATTTTTCATGCTCCTTATTAAGTATTAAAGTTAATGAAATAACCTGGCACAGGTGAGAGACACAACCATCTGCTAAGAGCTTAATCTCAGTAAAACAAGAGCAGCAGTCACTAGTCCTCCAGATACAGATGCACACAGGCACACGTTCTTTACCTCAAAACTGGTTTGATTTACCTTACGTCTCCCCAAAAGGAACCCATTAGAAGTGTTATATCTTAAAGAGGAACAAGCAAGGAAGGAGATCCCCATACATACCATTCTACAGCATAAGATTAATTCTGTGGGATGTCTGTATGTTTATAACACTCCTGAAACAGGCAAGGTGGAGCGAAAGCTAAGCAAAACTTTGCATTTATAAACAGAAGACTATAAGGGATCTCACCTCACTAACCACATCAAATCAATAATCCAGGTTGAAAGGTACCTTGGACATTACCTTATCCAACCTCCAGCTCAACTGCAGAGCCAACATAGATCAGGTTGTTTTCCCCTAATAGCTTACCAGGATTTCCCTTATTGACTTTTCATAGCGAAATACGTGGAAGCACTATTCAGCTGTGAAGTATTTCTCTGTCTTCCCCACCCCATCACACAGGCAAAGACAGCAGGAAGGTTTCCCTTCCTCCTTAGCCTCCTGTTCTCCAGAATGAATAAGCCCACTCCTGCAGCTCCTCCTTCATCACATGCTCCAGTCCTCATGTCATCCTGACAAGTGCTTCCAGTGGGTTTGTTTCAGTACACCGTATCAACAGGAAGCCCAAGCTGAACGCGGTTCTCCCGATGCAGCCTTGCCAGTACTGAACAGATAAGCACTGCCACTTCCCTCAACCTGATGGCCGCACACTTGCTAATACAGCAATACAGGCCTTCATTGCTGTAAGGGTGTTCTGCTGGCTTGTGTTCAGCTTATCCATCAGGACTGTGATTTTTTTTTTTTTTTCATACAAAAAAACCAAAGGGGAAAAGCAATAACCAGAAGGATGGTGGGGAGAAGTAAGCGTTCCTCCTCCATGGAGAGGTTGCTTGGCTGTTCACTAGAGATCATGGGAGCATCTAACCATGGCCAGCTTGTAAAACCAGGGTAAAAAAGTCCCCATCTGAGTACACAGCTACATCAATGCCTTCATATAGTAACTCAACTCTTCTTAAAGGGCAAAAAACCATAATAAAGTTATAAACTAGAACTGGACGAGAAGGGTTAATACTAATATTTTGTGCCTAATTATCACTGTGACAGATAACTTTTATAAATCAAGATCTGCAATGGTTTTATCCCAAGATGTTTAAGATTTTCATCCTAAATCTTCATTTAAACATTAAAATGTTTCACATCATAGTTAGTGAAAAAATTGTTGACTACAGCTGTGGCTTAGACATAAAACTGAGGCAACAATTATTTACAGGATTATTAAGAGACAAGCTTTTCAGACTACTACACACCAAGAACTGGCTCCAGACAATTGGAAGATTTGTTTCAACAGAGGTGGTAAAAGTAAAGAGACAGGCTGGCATGGACCAGAATAACAGACACCCTTGGAAACAGTATAATCGTGCTGTTGCTTCCAGTGTGAAATATAAGTATTGTCCTCCAAAATCCAACCAAATACAATGTACTCATGTTTGACATTTGAACGGGTCATACAATAGCACTCATTTTTTCCCTGACTAGAGTTAATAATTCAGTGCAATAGCTGTCAATGCCAAAGACTACTATAATTGTGTTTTCAGCCATAAGGATGACCACAAGGTTTATCCTAGGCAGCTTTGGTTCACGTAATCTGTCATACTCTTGACCTAAGTGGCATTAGGCATCAGTGCTTACTCACGTGACAACCACTGAAATAGGTCTGACAATGCACCACAACAGGCACTACTTCCCAAAAGGTCTCGGTGAGAAAACATTGCTCCAAGAAGGAACAGACTACCCTTATTGTATTTCTCTACTCTCTAGATTTAACACGGTGCCTAGCATAAAGCAGAACAAAAATGGCCCACATCCCAAATGACAGGTTTTGAAATTTGGAAAAATCTCAAAAGAAATGCATGCAGATGTAGGCCAACGTATAAGGGGAGCACTAAACCAAACAGAAAAATAAACCCCTATAAAGAAATCAGGAATTTTCTCAACATAGCACCGTATCAACTCAAATAATCTTCCATTTGCTTCGGTTGTGCACATCACCTAGGTTTAGAGAGGACTTCAGACAAATGAGGCAGGTACAGCACCGCTGGGAGAAGTCCTGAAAGAAAGCTAAGAAAAAACCATGTAACTACCACTTAGATTTTGCATCCTTCCTGCATGAGAGTTCAAAGAAGGCTCTTTGCATTGCACACTGCCTCTTTGCCAACTTCCATCGAAAGAGGTTGGCTGGATTTCCTATCATCTCTGGGATCTACCCTTCAACAATGGACAAGATTGTTTTAGCCTAGTCTCCTTGAAAACAAGCCTTAGTAGATCCTACAATATTCTGCCGTTTGCTTGTAAGGGTACCACAGGAGACAGGGTAAGGAGTAAAAGGCACATAAAGCACAGGACAAAATTGATGACAATTAGGCTCAATGTGCAACAAAGCTTATGAAAATATTTCCTTATTTTTAAGACAGAACCTAAATGTCCCAGTCAAACTAATACAGATGCATGGTGCCTAGCATAAAGCAGAACAAAAATGGCCCACATCCCAAATGACAGGTTTTGAAATTTGGAAAAACCTCAGAAGAAATGCATGCAGATGTAGGCTAACATATAAGGGGAGCACTAAACCAAACAGAAGAATAAACCTAATTAAAGAAATCAGGAGTTTTCTCAACATAGCACCATATCAACTCAAACACCTGGAAAAAAATTACTCCCCGTACATTCTCTTCAGAAACATACCGGTACAGATCAAAGTTCATTACTGCAAAGCATTCTGCTCCTGTGCTGAGCTTATAAAATGCTTTTTTTACAGCAACTTCTCTCCAGTTGCAAAAATGTTGGTATTCATCACAGGAAAGTCCATGTCCAAAAGCAAATTACGTTTGTATACGGTGCTGGAGAGAAAGCAATTGTTTAAGACTAACATTTCCCCATCAGGATCCATTGGAAGTAACCCATGTTTCCAACTGTATATACAAACTAAATCAAAGACCAGTGACTGTAATTATGCTCCAGATTTAACATTTAGAAAGTAGTATGTAGAAGTATGTGTCTTTTTAAGTGTAAGACCAACGCAAATGGCAAATCAGACAGTGCTGTGAACTGACAGCTGTGAAGACACTTCTCTGCACACAGAAAAGGAATTAGAAAGATTATATTCTAGCATTGCATAATTACCATAAACTGCCATCAAAAACAGTCTTAGTCAGAACTGAGCTTAAATTACAGCAATGACTTTCATCTTACACTGCCCCTAGACAGTTTGGAAGAGGAGGTTATGGAAAGTGAAATGGGATCAGTGGAAGTGCATCCAAGTTTCTCTGCAAAACCTACTGATTCTTCTACAGCTGTGCAGTGCCCCCTAATGAATGAATTGGGTAGATGCTAAATGAAAGTGTGGTTTTTTCGTTAAGATGAAGTGGAAAGGAGGTGCACAGTTCTGATTATCAGTAGTATTATAGTCACTGTGGTTTTTAATAGTAAGAAAATACTGGTTTATAATGATTGTAATCATTCAAAATACTATAGGCACAGTATCCTGGCCATTCAAGGAAAACAAACTTGAAGAACAGACTGCTAAGGGAAGTTTCTAATAAAAAAAGTACTCTACATTCTAGGCCGTGAGCTCTGAAGGAATTATCAAGAAGCAGAAGACAAGGTATTTTATTCTACCTGTTGCATAACACAAATATTAGGTATTTATAAAACCAGGAAATTCCAAGCAGTTATAAAAGATACTACTCATGCAGTGCAAAATTATACTATGGTAGCTCTTCTCTTACGCTGTCAGGGAAGCATCCATCTAGAAAGACAATGACAGAAAATACATGTAATACTTATGATGAGAATATGCAGATGTAAAAATACTAGTAGATGTCACGATAGATATAAAATTTTGTACTTCAGGGCTCACATCACAATCTAGACTTCTGTTTTCCCAGAAGATTATTCTAAATCTAACCACTGAAATTTGTGACTGCAGGTTCACCTGGGAGGAGAGATGACAAATCAGCTTCTAAACACAAAAGACAGAACAGCATATGGGAGGCAGAGAAATCACAACTGAATTTGCTTAACTTAAGCTTAACTCAAGATCACTTGATTGTAGGCGCTAACGATACTTACTGCCCCTCAAAAAATTAATCCAAGTTTCGTGCATAAGTGGTCCCACATCACAAGTGGAAGCTGCACACCGGAGTACTCAGAACAACTAGTGCTGCTTCAGAGAAACCTCTCCAAAACCCACTATGTAATTTCTTCAGACATCCTTAAGCCCACAGCGAGGCAACGAAAACACTTGCATAGCTGGCAAAGCAAGCCTGGTCGGTAGTGTGACCTAGCTATCTGTTCTGTGGGGAAATGCTACATAAGTAACCAACATTCACAAGAATTTGAAGTGCACTGACACCAGTTACTCCAGGTTCTGTTCTAGTGCCTCACCATTTTCTTCAACATCCTTCTGAGTATGATGTACCTACCAAGAGGCAATCCTCAAACAGGCTATTTTATGAGCAAGAATAAAAATGAACAGCATTTCTCTGCTGACAAATGCAGTCAGGCAGGTCTGATGGCATTTTGCCATAAAACAATCCTGGAAGCTGGCTCAATAGCACTGAGCTGCCCAAGAGCTCTTTTTGACTTTTTGCAATTCCTCCAAATAATAAAAAAACTTAGCCCAAAGCAGCAGTATGCTGGGAAAAAAGTGCTCTCATATCCAGAAACTTTAATTTTATAGAAAGCATCAGGAAATAATCTGTAACAGCA